TGTCTATTAGCATATCTCTTGTGGTTACGGGAGTCTGGTACACTTTTTCTTTTAGAGATCCCCACACAAAGAAATCTAATGGATTTAGGTCAGGGGATCGTGGAGGCCAGGCCACTGGTCCTCCACGGCCGATCCATCTTTCTGGATAATTTTCGTCCAGCCAGTTTCTAACTATTCTCGAATAATGAGCTGGACAACCATCAAGCTGGAACCAGGCCAATCTTCTTGAATCTAACATAACATCATCCCACATATTTGCATGTTCAGCCTTTAAAAATTCCAAGAAGGTCGCAGCATTTAATCTTGCAGGCAAAAGGTAGGGTCCAAATAGATAGTCGATTACGGTAGATACCAATCCACACGTTCACACTAAATTCATGCTGAAAATTTCTTTCCCGAACTGCGTGCGGATTTTCATGCGACCAAATATGTTGATTATGAAAATTTACCACTCCACGTCTAGTGAAGCATGACTCATCGGTCCATAAAACGTTACTTAAAAACTCCCTATTATTATCAGTTCTATCAAGAATCCACTGACAAAATGTGATTCTTCGTTCTCCGTCCCCTGGCTGTAGTCCTTGCACAGGTTGCAAATGGTAAGGACGTCTATGGTCATTTCTAAGAACACGGTGAACATGGCTTGCTGAAATTCGTAAGGCACCAGAAACTCTCCTAACACTTGTGGTCGGATCTCTATCAAACTCACGCAGAATCATACGGGTAAATCTGCGCTGACGAACATTTATGTTTTGATCCCTTTGGAGATTTCCAAAACCATTTTCAATTATTTGGCGATGCACTCTTACAAATACTGAGCGAGTTGGATGTCGTCTGTTTGGAAATCTTCGTGCGTATTTTCTGGCTGCTTCTGCTGCGTTTCCATTTACAAAGCCATACACAAAATGAATATCCGCTAACTCTTGATTGGAGAATAAAAATGGCATTTTTATAAAACTTACAAAAAAAACAGGTAAAAGAAACTAAATTTCGTGCATTCACAATTGCAAAAAAACGTTTCAGGTTTCAACAGACAACAAAACTAACTGTCAACTAATTGACGTTTAACCTTATTCTGCTTTCAATTTCAAAAATATTTGAGGCACAGCCTACTTCTAAAAATTATCGAGATACTGACTTTTTAACGTTATTTTATCATAAATAATTAAAAATGCATCGAACCTTAAAAATCGAAATATCTCAAAAAACGGCTAACTATAACGAAAATTCACAAGAGAGCTTTTTTATGTTGAAAAGTTCGAAGAATCAGCTTTTTTATTCAAATAGCAAAAAATTGCACTAAGAAAAAATGTTCGGTCATATTAATACATTACAGGTACAGTAGAGAGCGCCCTCTAGCGGCTACAGTAAAACCATGCCCATGGTTCATTTTGTCGTACCAAAGAAACCCTTGTATACCAATTTTCACTGTTATACATCAAATATTGTTCGAAATATTTAAAAAAAACTATTTTAGAAAGTAAATTTAAACATCCTGTATTTCGGATGTCACGCATTTTTCGGCCCATCTTTACGCATTATGCATTAATTTTAAAAGTTCTATCGGATCTTAAAGTTATGCAACAATAAACTGAAACACCCTGTATAATGATTTAATTTGCTAGAAAAATATTATTAAAAAAACATTCTAAGCCTCTTCTGCATCTTGCAAGTCCACTCCTCTGAAAAAAAAAACTAATCATGAAGTATTATTGAATACATAAGCTGCTTTCCAGTGATTTATGGGAATATAAAATGCAGTGGAACAATATTGGTGCTGAGCATGGTGAGTTACTTCGAGTAGCTCAACTGGGTCACTGAAAAACAGCTCTATAATGCACCTAAAAGGACCCCAAATCTTCTGCCTATGATAGTTCGAGATTTGGTTAATTTTTAAGAAAATTGTTATTTTAGATATCTTGATGAAAAATGTCATTGGGCACCACTTGATTCTTTGACTAACTTTTAAAGAAAAGGTTATTTAAAATAGACCACTTATTAATTTTGTTGAAATTTGGCCTTTTTAGTAAGGGATCTAACTTAGTCATAACTATTTTGTGATTTTATATTATAATTCAAGGGACAAAAGTATAGTATTTTCGAATGTTAAAATTTTTTAATGTACTACGACAGTAATAATAATAATAATGAACATAATTTTATACTCAGCTGGCACAATAATGTTTACTAGTCAGTTTAATTATGCTATGTAATTATCGAAAAACTTGTCCTTTTCCCTTTTCCTCAAAAAACACTCAAATAATGAACCACTTGGAGGTACACAGGAAGCACGGTATCATAGCGAAAGTCACAGGTGAAATGGATGCCTATTGGTCGCTCGAGGTTACACGCACATGCGCCGTATCCGAAAATATTTAATGATTATTTTCTAAATATTGGAGATTTAATATTTTCCATTGATTGAAAAGTAAATATTTAATGAATATTATAAAAGAAATATTGTATTTAAAATATTTAAAAGATATTGAATAAATATTTAATAAAAATATTATATTACAAATATTTATTAAATATTTGTTTAAGAAAACAAATATTTAAGTAACATAAAAATATTAAATATTAAATAAATATACAGGGTGTTTCAGTTTATTGTTGCATAACTTTAAGATGCGATAAAACTTTTAAAATTAATGCATAAAGTCTATATAAACATGGGTCGAAAAATGCGTGGCTTCCGAAATACCGGGTGTTTAAATTTACTTTCTAAAATAGTTTTTTTTAAATATTTCGAACAATATTTGATGTATAATAGTGAAAATTGGTATACAAAGGTTTTTTGGTACGACAAAACGAACCATGGGCATAATTTTACTGTAGCCGCTAGAGGGCGCTCTCTACTGTATCTGTAGTGTATTAAAATGACCGACAAATTTTTCGTAGTGCAATTTTTTGCTTTTTGGATAAAAAAACTGATTCTTCGCAGTTTTCAATATAAAAAAGCTCTCTTGTGAATTTTCGTTATAGTTAGCCGTTTTTGAGATACTTCGATTTTTAAGGTTCGATGCATTTTTAAGTATTTATGATAAAATAACGTTAAAAAGTCAGTATTTCGATAATTTTTAGAAGTAGGCTGAGCCTGCAAATATTTTTGAAATTGAAAGCAGAATAAGGTTAAACGTCAATTAGTTGACAGTTAGTTTTATTGTCTGTTGAAACCTGAAACGTTTTTTTGCAATTGTGAATGCACGAAATTTAGTTTCTTTTACCTGTTTTTTGTTGTAAGTTTTATAAAAATGCCATTTTTATTCTCCAATCAAGAGTTAGCGGATATTCATTTTGTGTATGGCTTTGTAAATGGAAACGCAGCAGAAGCAGCCAGAGAATACGCACGAAGATTTCCAAACAGATGACATCCAACTCGCTCAGTATTTGTAAGAGTGCATCGCCAAATAATTGAAAATGGTTTTGGAAATCTCCAAAGGGATGAAAACATAAATGTTCGTCAGCGCAGATTTACCCGTATGATTCTGCGTGAGTTTGTTAGAGATCCGACCACAAGTGTTAGGAGAGTTTCTGGTGCCTTGGGAATTTCAGCAAGCCATGTTCACCGTGTTCTTAGAAATGACCATAGACGTCCTTACCATTTGCAACCTGTGCAGGGGCTACAGCCAGGAGACGGAGAACGAAGAATCACATTTTGTCAGTGCATTCTTGATAGAACTGATAATAATAGGGAGTTTTTAAGTAATGTTTTATGGACCGATGAGTCATGCTTCACTAGACGTGGAGTGGTAAATTTTAATAATCAACATATTTGGTCGCATGAAAATCCGCATGCAGTTCGGGAAAGAAATTTTCAGCATGAATTTAGTGTGAACGTGTGGATTGGTACCTATCTACCGTAATCGACTATTTGGACCCTACATTTTGCCTGCAAGGTTAAATGCTGGAATTTTTAAAGGCTGAACATGCAAATATGTGGGATGATGTTATGTTAGATTTAAGAAGATTGGCCTGGTTCCAGCTTGATGGTTGTCCAGCTCATTATTCGAGAATAGTTAGAAACTGGCTGGATGAAAATTATCCAGAAAGATGGATCGGCCGTGGAGGACCAGTCGCCTGGCCTCCACGATCCCCTGACCTAAATCCATTATATTTCTTTGTGTGGGGATTTCTAAAAGAAAAAGTGTACCAGACTCCCGTAACCACAAGAGATATGCTAATAGACAGAATCAGGAATGTATGTAATGAAATAAGGCCTTATTTGAATAATGCTATACCACGTTCGATCATTCGTAGATGTGAATTGTTGAATTGTGTATTGAATAATTACATTTCGAGCAACTACTTTAGATTTTGTATGTTTGTCCTAACTATCCAATAGAATTTTAGTTGTAAATAATTAATTTAATTTGTTAAAAATAATATTGGAAAATTAAACAAATTAATATTCTGTTTTTTGTGTTTATTTGGAGTTAGGAATTATTGCTGTGTTTAAAAACACAATCTAAACGATCATCTTAATTACTTGTAATTCCCAAATCGAAAATGTAAAAAAAAATATTACTTTCCCATAAATAATTAAAAATGCATCGAACCTTAAAAATCGAAATATCTCAAAAACGGCTAACTACAACAAAAATTCACATGAGAGCTTTTTTATGTTGAAAAGTGCGAAGAATCGGTTTTTTTATTCAAAAAGCAAAATATTGCACTAAGAAAAAATTTTCGGTCATTTTAATACACTACAGGTACAGTAGAGAGCGCCCTCTAGCGGCTACAGTAAAATTATGCCCATGGTTCGTTTTGTCGTACCAAAAAAACCCTTCTATACCAATTTTCACTATTATACATCAAATATTGTTCGAAATATTTAAAAAAAAACTATTTTAGAAGGTAAATTTAAACACCCTGTATTTCGGAAGCCACGCATTTTTCTACCCATGTTTATATAGACTTTATGCATTAATTTTAAAAGTTCTATCGAATCTTAAAGTTACGCAACAATAAACTGAAACACCCTGTATCATGAATATTTCGTGCTATCAGGGAATTAACAGATGGAATCTTATCGCATTTTTAGTTAAACTAATGGCATACTTTCAATTGAATTTCAGGCTTCTACATCACTTGTAATGGTCGGTTTGGGAATTCTAGCTGTGGCTGCGTTTTGGATCAAAAAGTGCAGGTAAGTCGAAAATATATCTTGATATGAGTACAGAAACAACAGAAACATTAGCAACACTTTATTTTAAACATATTCGTTATCATTTATGAACCTAACCCTGATAAAACTTATTGCATTCATAACTTATTCATAATTTTTACCTAGCTTCGAACAAATTTCCGTTAATTATCATGGACAAAAAACAGAAATCTATGAAGTCAACAGTTTAAAATATTTGAAAGTATTTATAGACTCACATTTAAGATGGGATAAAAATATTACATATTTCATCAAAAATCTGACATGTTGCCTATAAACTCAAAATACTTTCATTCAGAAAGCTATCTGCGAATACCGTACTAAGCCTTAGTTGAAACCCATATAATATACGGCATTACAGGTTGGGGTGCCACCTGCAAGACATATATTTCTGATCCAGACACAAAAAACAGTTCTAAAAGCCATTTTATAGAAGCCAAAATTATATCCGTCAAACATTTTGTATAAGGGAACGGGGTCACTCGATAGTGGACAGCTTTATTTCTTACACGCAACACGATTCCGAATAGGCTCATCAAATATTCAAAAACCACACAAAACATTATTGAAAGAACCATTCAAATTCATAGCAGCTGAATTATATAATGTAGTACCTAACGAAATAATGATACTCAAATTTGGAACAAAAAGCGGACGAAAATTAAAAGACTGGGTTTGTACTGTGCCATACATACATAATTATATTGAAAACTAAAATGCAAAATTTAAAATTATTTAAATACTTCACACAGAAAAAGACTTCTGTGGATTTTTCTTATTTATTTGCCACTTTTAAACAGTTTTTTATTTCGTATTACTACTATTTTTGACTGTAATGCACTTCCTCCACCTCCCTTACTATTATTATTATTTTAGTTATCCTATCAAAAGAAATAAAAACTGTCGTTTCGACAATAGGTGGTACACTTAAAAAATAGGGTAGTATACTTTTCTAACGACCCTCGTACATTTCATTACAAGGGGAGTTCGAAATGTTCAACAATACTCTTCAGTCTCTGATGATACAACTTATCATTCGCTACAGTGAACTTCATCATATCAGTAATGTCATCAGCTTCCTTAGAGTTCTCGAACTCCGGCAAAGCTTCATTATCTGCGTAAGAGAATTTTAGTACGAACGGCGTAAATATCGCACCAACATATCGCCACCTTTTCCAATGTCTCAGTAGATCTTCAAAAGTGAATAAATTTGGGCTACTTCCTAGTTGCACCAGAAAGTCTATTAGATGTTCGTGGTACTCCTTGAGGAGATCTATGAATGAGCCTGCGTAGTCGGTACTTGTTGCATACAAAAAGTAAGCTAGGTCGTAAGCTGGTGACCTTGGAACCGATATCTGCCAGTCTAAGATCATAACTGATGCTGGGGAACTTTTGTCGCCGCCCTACAAAAATTGAGATATTCAGGATGTTATAGTTATTTACCTTTCTATAAATTCGAATTAGAAACACTGATCACATTCAAGGGCTAATCCATATATTCTGCTCTTTCTTAATTACCGCCGGCAATGGAAAATTTACATTCTACTACGTTCTCACGAACTACTACTTAAACGTGAGGCTCACGGTGGAATCCAAGGTCAAAATTAAAATCCTTCTCTACAACTACTAAAGGAATTCTATTAATTCTATCATCAGTAATTCTGCTAAATTTCTAGGAATTTTCTCTGGCCTCACAAATTAATACATTTTGGGACATGGCATTTTCCGTTCTTTCAATTATCGGTCTCAACAAGAGGAATTTCCATTGAAACCAAGAAAGTTTGACCTTGAAATGACCTTGTAAATGAGGTTCAAGGTCAAATATAAGGTCAAAATTGAAATCCATATTAACAGCGACTAAAGGACTGACATTGATTTTTTCATCAGTAATCCTGCTAGATTTCCCTTGCCTGACAAAATTGACACTCATTTTGATGACAAATGTTAATACGAGCCCCTTCCTACTTCAATTTACCCAACTACTGAAATCTTAGTTTTTTTCTTATCAAACACAAATAATAAAAATGTAGCAGGATGTTATAGGTTTAAAATATTAACAATGAATATTTTGATAATATATAGTAGAAAACACTAACTTTATCACTCCCTAATCAAATTTGCAGCATAAAAATAACACATGTTGCAATTACAGCATATCAACCTATTTTCATTTCAATGCAAAATAAGTCTATAACGCATAGGTGGCTGTGAAAAATAAAAGCCATGACAATTGCTTAAGTAGTTTTGGGTAGTTAAGGTTTTCAAAATGGGTAGAGGAAAGGTTATTAGTGAGAAAATAAAATTTTTTAATTCTGGGAAATCAAACTCAGAAATTGTAACTTTGTTAGACTTATCTCGGTACAGTGTGAGAAATATTGTTAGAAGATATAACGTAACTGGTTCAGTTAATATTAAGCCACGATATGTGAAAAAAGTAATATCACAAATGCCGACCGAAGAGCATTAAGAAGAATAATCGTGAAAAACAGGCGTGCCAATTATACTAAGTGACATATAAATCCGAACACCCAGTTTAAATGGTTTTATTTTAATAAAATTTTGTATAAGTACTTAATGAAGCCTAGGCATGCTTCTGATCAGGTGGTCAATGTCCTCCTGTGGTATCTCATTCCAGGCAACCACCAACTCCTCTCGAAGTGCTTCTAGAGTCTGAGGAGGACGTTGCAAATTGAGCAATCTCCTACCCATCATATCCCACACGTGCTCAATTGGGGATAAGTCGGGAGATCTTGGTGGCCTTGGTGTCAAGATAGGGTTCTAGAACTTCGTGGATATAACGCTGTGCGTTCATGTTACCTCTGATGAAGATTAAAGGTGACCTGGAACCATAAGCTATAGCACCCCAAACCATAACTCCAACAGTGTGATGAACATGTCTTTCAACAAAAAACTGTGGATTCCTCCTTTCACCACGTCGCCTTCTAACCCTGGCACGACCATCGTGCATGCCTAAACAAAATCGAGACTCGTCTCTAAAGACAATACTGTTCCATTCCTGATCCCAGAGTGACCGTTGTCTGCACCACTCAAGGCGATTACGTCGGTGTTCTCGAGTTAAAGGGAGGACCCAGTGTGGCCGGTATGAAAACAAGCCAAAACTTCTCATTCGTCAGTAAACCCTTCGCATGCCAATAGGTCTTCCGTCTTCTGCAAACCATTCATTTGCAATGGACCTGGTATTGGAGAAACGGTCTCTTAAGGCCAATAATCTTAGGCGGCGATCTTCACGGTCTGTTGTTCTACGGCGGCGTCCAGTGACCCTTGCTCTTTGCGTACGGGCTTCTCGAAGCCATGCCTGACAACACCTAACCACAGTGTCTACACTTCTTTGCACTCTAACTGCAATTGCCCGAAAAGAAAGTCCAGCTTCCCGAAGTCCCACTATACGGCCCCTATCAAACTCACTAAGTTGACGAAATCGTACAGGTCTCCGTACTCTAGGCACCGTAACCGATCGTAAAGGATGTCAAGAACCAAAATCCGCCAACGTTGATTCTTTCGGTTTCGATGGGCTAAAGAACATAGCCAGTGGACACCTCAACAATGGTGTGCAATACAATGGAGTGATGAGGCCCGATTCGAAGTTTGTGTTTTGCACCAAATTTTTGCCAAAACTTGGTTAACACTATGCCCCAAAGAATTTCAGCCGTAAGAAAAAATAAAGGTGATGTTACCCAATGGTAATCTTTCAATTGTTGCTTTATAAACTTCGCGCATTTATTCGCACACTGTTTATTTGTTCAGATGTTCCATTAGTTATAGGTCTAAGTGATTTCAAATATGTATTCTTTACGACTAGAGTGTATCTAAAATGTTTTTGAGAAAATGACTTGTTTTAGAAGTAGTTTCGTCATGTTTAGTTTATAAAGGCATATTTTGGTACAAATCTTGAAGTGGGCCAACTGAAGTGGGAAGGGGCTCGTATATTTTCGAAATGAAATTTTACGTTCTTTCAAACAAGAAGCTCAAAGTCCAATATCCAAAGTCAATATTTTAATCCTCATTGAAAATGACCAAAGAACTGATCTTTAGGGGTAACATGGAATTCTTAATTCTTTCGATCACCTATGTTAAAAGGGAGTTCCCCATTCGAAGCGTTAAAATTTGACCTTGGAATAACCTCAAAGGTGAGGCTCAAGGTCAATAGTGAAATCCTTATTAGGTGTTACTAAAGAACTGCTAAATTTCAAGGAATTTTTCCTGGCCTCACAAAATAGACCACAATGATCACAAATATCAATACCTTTTCAGTCATGAAATTCTCCGTGCTTTCGATTATCAGTGTCAGAAAGGAAGATTTCCGTTCAAAACAAGAAAGTTTGACTTTGAAATAAACTCGGAGGTGAGCGTCTAAGCAAAATTCAAGGTCAAAATTGAAATTTTAATTGAAATTTACCAAATGACTGACATTATTTTCATCAATAATCCTGCTAAATTTCTAGGAATTTCTCACTCACCCTCACAAAATTGACATTCATTAGACCTTAAGAAGTGACATCGTCATTTTTTCTATCATCGCCCTGTAAGCAGGGAAGCTAATAATTGTCAAATTTTTTGCATCCGGAGAAATTTTGACATTTTGGCAAGAAAGAAGGCAATAATATTATGGAAGGTGAACCTGAGGGGTCCCCAGGCTACCCTTCTACTACTTTGAGTGGAGTTGGCGCGGAGAGCAGCGCTACTTTGGAACATATTCCAGAAAACCAAAACGAGATGATACCAATGATGACATCAGGGATGACACCGGTACTGGAGAAGGAAAATGAGAACCAGAAACTTTTGAAGATAATTGCAGACCAAGCAGCCCAGATTCAGAGACTGACTGACTGTGTGGAGTCACTTAATGCCCAGGTTTTTAAACTTATAAATCAGTTCCCAATGTCGATTCTTCCAAAACAGCAAAACGTAGACATAACACTCATTCGAGTGAGCTACATACTGAGACCGATAAGGACATACAGGGTGATCTTTTCAGACCTCTGCGAGGTCGCAAAGTGAGACTGCGCAAAACAGAATTTCCTCCGCTACCGACGAAATCCCCAAATAACAAATATTCAGGCAACCTAAAACCGTCTGTGTCTGTACCCTCTACTACTTCTACTAGTCAGCCAAGGGAAAGGCCTTTATCAGCATCTACACAGAGTTCTCCTCCTGTTATACCCCAAGTTCAGTCTGATCCATTGCGTATTACTCCAATCGTGTAAACTATTCCTTCATAAGTCTTGGTATTCGTGTTGAGCAGTTGACGCTGGAATACGTATCATCACCAAAACCGAAGACGATTATCGCAGGATAATCCGTCTTTTCAAAGAGGAAAACATTCCTCATCACACTTTCCCTTTGCCCGCTGAACGCAACATCCATGCGGTTATCTGAGGGATCCCAGCGTCAACCACCGAACAGGAGGTCAAAGATGAGCTAGAACAGAAGGGTTACGCTCCCTTTCACATCATTTGCTTAAAGCGCAACGGCGGCGTGCCCATGCCCTTGGTGGTGGTGATCCTGCCTAAGACGGAAAAGTCACAGCAAGTGTTCAACGAATTGCTGGGGCTCTCTATCAGAGTCGAAGTTCAGGAGAACTCTCGACTCATTGGGCAGTGTCACCGCTGCCAGAAGTATGGACATGCACAGGGAGATCGCCTAGCTTTCCAGAATTATGATGTTATCCGCGCTGATAGATTAGCTGGACGGGGTGGCGGTTTGGCAGTGATAGTAAAACGTGGTATTGACTATTATGGAAGCACAAACGCTGAGATGCAGAGCATCGAGGCAGCTTCCGTGGTAGTAAATATGACGGGAGGTATCTCGTTGAAAAGCACATCGGTTTATGTCAGACGTGGTGCCAGGCTTCAAGAGACTGATCTGGCAGTCCTGTTTGACTGCTTGGGTCCGCTTATTGTAGAATGAGACTTCAACTGTAAACAGCGAGCATGGCATTCTAGGTTAAATTCCACTAGTGGGATTCGACTTTACAACCATGTGATACGAAACGGCTACCTCATACACAGTACTGAAGAGCCCACGCACCACCCATTTAATCACCTTCAGGCACCAGATGTCATTGGCTTGGCGATATCTAGAAACTGTAGACACAGTGTCACTTCTCGAATCATGTATGACATTTCGAGCGATCATTGAGAGCTATACAAGTCGCTACTTAGAGAGTTCCCCAGTATCCCGATCATAGATGATGAGAACAGTATAGATGCTGCTCAAGCGGAGTGGACAAGTTCAGTTCAGCAAGCTCTGCAGCGTGCAGCTATACTACCAGTACAACGACACGGCAGACCTTTTCTCCTTGCAGACATTCTTCAGAAAATTTCTGACAAAAGAGCTGCAATTAAGCTAGCGAAGAGGTCTTGTCACGAAGATGACATTCGCAGAGCAACGACTCCGTAATGAGCAATGGAGCGACTTTCTGTCGGGGATGCTTGACTCAAGTATTCCTCTCTGGAAAGTTGCAAAGTCGCTCAGAAACGGAAAGCGAGAACAACTCCCGCACATCAACGGTCCTGGGGGCATAGTCAGTAGGACAGAGGAAAAGGTCGAGGTTTTCGCTGATGCAATGGAAAGTCAGTTCTCTCCCATCTATTACCTTGATAATGACCTCGGCGAGGAGCAACATATTGTAAGACCCGTCAGGAGATATTTTAGGGCCAACGGCGTCAGTGGCAGTAGTGCCTCACTAAGTGATTTTTCCTCAGAGGAATCGTCAGAAGATTCCTCAACTGAAGAGCTGCAATCTCCTGAGAATCCGCATTGCACACCAGCAGAGCTTCAAGGTCATATTAAATACCTCAAGGCGTAAAGCACCTGGAGAGGATCTAATCACTAATAAGGCGCTGAAGCTACTTTCGCCTCCTTAACTTATCTCGTGGCAATAATCAATGCCATGCTAAGGACCCAGCACTTCTCAGTGGTATGGAAGACCGCTGATGTCATAATGATTCCAAAGAAGGTGGGTTCGATATTCCCTCAGGATTACCGCCCCTTAGTTCACTGTCAGCTCCTTCTAAGCAGGCTGAAAAGGTGATTCTACGTCACCTTGAAAATTTCTCGTCAGACCACAATGTGATTCCTGACGTGCAATTTGGCTTCCGGTCTGAGCATAGTACGGAGCTACAGGCCATTAGTCTTGTTGAACGAGTAACCAGAGGGTTCACCCGTAACAAAAGTACTGGCATCTTGCTTCTCGATGCCTCGAAGGCTTTGACAAGGTGTGGCACAAAAGTCTTCTCTACAAATTGATCCATAAGGGCTTCCCCTTCTGGCTCCTGAAACTTTTGAAATCCTTCCTCGAGGGTGGGAAATTTCGGATCACAATTAATAACGTTCTGTTGACAACACGGCCCATCAAAGCTGGTGTCCTTCAGGGTTCGGTTCTTGGACCAGTCCTTTATTCACTTTTTATTCATGACGGCCCTTGCCCCAGCAACTGTAAAATCTATCTCTATGCTGATGACACTGCCCTGGTGGCCCAGTCGTGTTCTGGGGATCTATTTCACGACAGGCTGCAAAGTGCAGTGGACGATGTATTGGAATCGGTGGCTGATCAAAATTAATCATTCGAAAACGCAGGCAATCTATTGTACTAAAAAATGTAGCGGCGCCCCGTCTGGGGTTTCAGTGAATGGAGCTCGGGTACCACGGGAAAGCTCTGCTAAGTATCTCGGTGTCACTCTTGACAAGGGGATGACCTGGCAGAAGCACACTAGAGCGTTGAAAACTCCAAATCTCATTTCGGCAACTCTACCCCATGCTATGTAGAACATCAAAATTAGGTTTGATCAACAAAGTTCGGCTATACAAGATGTTTATTAGACCAGCGATCACTTACGCAAGTGCGGCTTGGTGTTTTCCCGCCCAAACGCATTTGCTTAGCCTGCAGATTATGCAGAACAGAACTTTGCGTACAATCACTAACGCCCCATGGTATATCTCCAACGAGACCCTTTACAGAGACCTTGATATCCCTTACCTAAGAGACTAGATGAAGTCGAGTCAGTAGACTACACAGTCCAGCAAGTTCGCAAGCACACAAGGCCGCGACTCGCACTGTGGACAAAATTAAATCGTGCGACTCTAGGTCCAACCAAAATTATAATTTTTCTTCAACAACAATTAATTTTAGGAACAATTTAAAATTGCCGAATACTAATTAACAATGCCAAGGCACCTCTCAAATTGTCGCACTTCTTTCTTATTTGTTTTCCCTTCGTCCTTCCTTTCTTCTTCCCTTCTTCCTCCCTGACTTTGTTTGGTATCTGGGCAATCAGACCTGACAGACCTATTGACTTACAAGACTTTAACCAAGAGCAAAGGTCCTACGGACCGCTCTGACAGACAATGACGAATAGAGAATGACATTCATCACAGATTTTGATATGGAATTTTTCATTATTGGAATGACTTCTAAGGTGGGACAAATCCAAGGTCAAAGTTCAAATTCGTATTTAAAGTTACCAAGGGACCTGCATTGATATTTTCATCAGTAATCCTGTTGAATTTCTAGGAATTGGAATGGAACGGCGACCTTGAAATACCCTTGAACGTGAGGCTCAATGTCAAATCCAACTCAAAAATGCAAATCCTATTAACAGTTCCTAAAAGACTGACTTTAATTTTACCCTCAATGATCCTGATAAATCCTGTCCTCACAAAATTGACCTTTAGAGGTGACCTTGAACACAGACCACTACATTTTCAAACATAAAACTTTCCATTCCTTCGATTACCGATATCAAAAAGGGAGCTTTTTATTCAAAACAAGAATGTTTGACATTGAAATAACCTTGATTGTGAGGCTCAAGGTCAAATTGAGAGTCACAATTGAACTCCTTGATTAATGCTAGTATACTAAGTGACATATAAATCCGAACACCCAGTTTAAATGGTTTTATTTTAATAAAAGTTGGTAAATGTATTTATCTTACTGTAAATAACAAGTGAAAAAATTTTCAGCCTCATCAGTTGGACATTCCGGTTTTTATACTGCTTTTATTTAATTCAATAACGCTCTAAAAATGAATATTTCAGCCGCAGTAAAGAATCAACGTTGGCGGATTTTGGTTCTTGACATCCTTTACGATCGGTTACGATGCCTAGAGTACGGAGACCTGTACGATTTCGTCAACTTGTGAGTTGATAGGGGCCGTATAGTGGGACTTCGGGAAGCTGGATTTTCTTTTCGGGCAATTGCAGTTAGAGTGTAAAGAAGTGTAGACACTGTGGTTAGCTGTTGTCAGGCATGGCTTCGAGAAGGCCGTACGCAAAGAGCAAGGGGCACTGGACGCCGCCGTAGAACAACAGACCGTGAAGATCGCCGCCTAAGATTATTGGCCTTAAGGGACCGTTTCTCCACTACCAGGTCCATTGCAAATGAATAGTTTGCAGAACACGGAAGACCTATTGGCATGCGAAGTGTTTACCGACGAATGAGAAGTTTTGGTTTGTTTTCATACCGGCCACACTGGGTCCTCCCTTTAACTCGAGAACACCGACGTAATCGCCTTGAGTGGTGCAGACAACGGTCACTCTGGGATCAGGAATGGAACAGTATTGTCTTTAGTGACGAGTCTCGATTTTCTTTAGGCATGCACGACGGTTGTGCCAGGGTTAGAAGGCGACGTGGTGAAAGGAGGAATCCACAGTTTTTTGTTGAAAGACATGTTCATCAAACTGTTGGAGTTATGGTTTGGGGTGCTATAGCTTATGGTTCCAGGTCACCTTTAATCTTCATCAGAGGTAACATGAACGCGCAGCGTTATATCCACGAAGTTCTAGAACCCCATCTTTTACCCTATCTTGACACCCTGGCAGATCCAACTTTCCAACAAGATAATGCCCGACCACATGTTGCAAGAGTGACAATAGACTTCTTCCAACATAATGATGTCACATTGTTACCATGACCACCAAGATCTCCCGACTTATCCCCAATTGAGCACGTGTGGGATATGATGGGTAGGAGATTGCTCAATTTGCAACGTCCTCCTAACACTCTAGAAGCACTTCGAGAGGAGTTGGTGGTTGCCTGGAATGAGATACCACAGGAGGACATTGACCACCTGATCAGAAGCATGCCTAGGCGCGTTGTAGAATGCGTAGCATATCACGGTGCATCCACACAAGGTCAAAGGGCTTTAAAGCAGTGCAATCATTTTGAAATTTTTATCATTTACTTATTATGCTTCATTAAGTACTTATACAAAATTTTATTAAAATAAAACCGTTTAAACTAGGTGTTCGGATTTATATGTCACTTAGTATATATACCTCACCTTGATCTTCTCTTAGTGTTGATACCCCCCACTATGTTATCATGCTGTTTGTGTTCCTTACCTCATATCGAAACATGAAGTTATTATTCCAACAGTCACCATGATTAATAACCTTTTGATCATACTTCTCTTCATAAATCTGTTTCAATTTATCAACACCGTCAATCGTTATCTTATCATACTTATCAGCCAACTTATCATCTCCATATTTCATCAATATTTTTACCCCATTTTCACAGGATTCAGTTATTGCCTGCTGGAACCTTGGTTTTTTCAAATAATCTAGCAGCGAATCGATGCTACCATCTACTAGAGATGCAAAAAAGTCTGGTCTCTGGTCTTTTAGAGCAAAGGACAACGCGTGCAGCTTAGCGTATTGCTGTAGTACTTTTCTCGTATGAGCCAAATTGAAGCATTCCAGCTTATTGTGAAGCTCGTATCCTTGTGCTTTGAGATTCTCAAGCACTATCACGTCTTTTTTGTACAGTTTCAGGCATTTATAGCATTTTGGATAGGATGCGAATTTATCTTGTATGTTTCTCTGTTTTTGAAATTCCTGGAAAGCGGGAAGTACTTCTTCGTATATGTGCATTTCTTGTTCAAACACTGCTCTTCCAAATGCATCCCTAGAAATTATTTTAGATTTACGTATTCTAGCTGAAAATAGACAAACAGTGCTCAAAAAGGGATATGAAAAATCCATCTATTACCGCTTTACTCGATCCAATGAATTGAACAATTTTTTAACCTTGAAGATTGAGCGTGTCAACATAAAAATTGTTGACAATTTCTGCTTGTTCTAATTTTACGTCGATTATTCGGGGAATTCTATACTACAACTATTTAAAATAATGACTCATACACGTGATCAGCACGTGATCAGAGCTCGATCCCGGCTTCCTTCCAGTACAGCCGTATAGCGTACGACATATGTCGTTTCTGTGGCTTTGCGGTGGTCAACAGCACAGACAGAGATGGAAATAATGGCTGATTGTTCTCCGCCGGTAGAACCAATGAAATCAAAGACGCGCCTCGACCGGCAGACTCATAGGCGTCGGCAATGCATTGGAACGTGTTTCGTTGAGCGATCGCATATTGTGTGTTTTTATAAGAATTGTTGTGTGATTGTTATTGTTGTGGTTTCTGTGGTTACTGTTTTGGTTATACTTAACCATGGAGAGTACAAATGGCACGAGTCGAAGTACTGAAAGCGAGGGAACAAGTAGACGGCTTCGTAAAGCACTGAAGGGGGACGCGAAAGAAATCGTGCTCAACATGTTCAATTATCTGAACAGAACTATGTCGCAGGGAGATGCACTCACGCGTTGTGAAAGTATGACAGGCATTCCAGAGTGGACCATTCGCAGGGTGATGCATGAAAAGAAGAAAACTGGAGCTACTACTGATCCAAAGTTTAATTTGAAGGGACGAAAGGCCGTTAAATTGGATGACGATAGCAAAATGGCGTTTAAGGCGAACCGTACATTCATTCTTCTTTAGGAATGAGATACCAACCCTCAAGGCTGTACATGCAGCGATCAAGGAAAATGAAATTATACCCCAAATGAGCGTCGAGGTAATGAGGAAATCCCTGCACGAAATTAATTTTCGTTACGAAACGCGTAATCGGAAGTCAGTATTGATAGAGAGACCTGAAATAGTCGCCTGGCGTCGAAAATACCTACGCGAAATGATTGAATATAGGCGACAAAGCAGAAAAATCTATTATTTGGACGAGACATGGGTAAATGCAGGTCACACAGTTAAAAAAACCTGGATAGACAAAAACGTTGTAAGTAACCGACAAGCAAGCATTGAAGGTTTGTCAACAGGTCTTCGTGGACCGTCAGGGAAAGGTCAAAGATTGATCGTAACTCTTATTGGTAGCGATAGTGGCTTTTTAGAAGAGTGTGACTTGATTTTCGTCTCTAAGAAAGGAGGTGATTACCATGACGAAATGAATGCCAGCTGCTTCGAGAGCTGGTTTCAAGGGGTGCTTCAGCGAGTTGAGCCCAACTCTGTGATCGTCATGGATAATGCTTCCTACCATAGTCGTCGAGCCGAACGTGTACCGACTATGGGATCTCGAAAAAGTGACATGCAGCAATGGTTGCGCGAAAAAGGAATCCCGTTTGACGATTCATGTGTGAAAGCGGAATTGTATGAAAAAATTAAACAGCACAAACCTGCGAACATTAGTTACGTGACTGATGAGATGGCCCGTCAATGTGGTGTCACTGTGCTGCGGTTACCGCCCTACCTCTGTGAACTGAACCCAATAGAGCTCATCTGGGCTCAAGTGAAGGGTTATATTGCGCGCCATAACACAACCTTCAAATTACCAGACGTTAAGGTTTTACTTGAGACTTCCATACAGCTAGTAACGCCCGAAGCTTGGCAGAATGCTATCCGTCATGTTGTGAAGGAAGAAACAAAAATGTGGCAGCTTGACCACCACATCGACACCATCATAGAGCCAGTTATAGTCAATTTCAACGAGGAAAGCGATAGCGATAGTTTATTACTGTCAGATGTAAGTGGAAGCGACGATGAATAAAGGTAATTCCCAAATTTTTTACTTACAATATGTTTCAAACCACTCTTTATTAAGCATGTGACAAATCTAGTTCACCCATGTTAAACATTCATACCCCGCCTATGAACAGCCGACTACTGGTAGTTAAGTGATGTTCACGTGAACATCGATGAATCATTACAGTTTTTGATAGTTATAGTATAGTTACTTTTGGTTCTTTTTCCAAGATAATAAACTTCGTTGTTTGAGACGTTCACGTTTCGTGATTTAAGATTAAAATTATAATCCTTACACTTTAAGTTGGAGCTTTGGTTTTAATTTAGGGTTTGATGTTACAATACAAGCAATTAGTATGTACCACTCCTAGATTGAGGCTCATCTGCGTTACGCGTTAAGTGGGGCTTGTTTGTAAATGCTCAACAAGTCTTTTTAAGCGAAAAAATAGTTATTCGGAGCATAGTGGGTGTATAAACATCACAACATCACTATTGAAGAAACTGAAGATCTTGACATTGCCTGGCCTATTTATTGATGAAATTATAATTATGAATACAATATCGAAACACGCCAGCAACTTGATATGCAGTTCCATTTGATAAATTCAAAATTGGGAAACAGCCTCCCCATATATTGAGACCAAGAATATTAAACAAGCTTCCATGGCAAATAAGAAGAGCACAATCATTGAAGATTTTTAAAATTACGTGGAAAAGCTATCTCATTGAACTTTTTTCGAATCGCGTCTCTGATTCTGCTCCCTGGGTTCACCGGCGGGCGTGTCGGATTGTAACTAACTTTTTTGTCAAAACATAATCCTATAATAAGCCTGCTTGGAACCATATGTTTATTCTATTTGTTCCTAAATATACTAAGTGACATATAAATCCGAACACCCAGTTTAAATGGTTTTATTTTAATAAAATTTTGTATAAGTACTTAATGAAGCATAATAAGTAAATGATAAAAAATTCAAAATGATTGCACTGCTTTAAAGCCCTTTGACCTTTAATAATGTGTGGATGCACCCTGATGTGCTACGCATTCTCCAACGCGCCTAGGCATGCTTCTGATCAGGTGGTCAATGTCCTCCTGTGGTATCTCATTCCAGGCAACCACCAACTCCTCTCGAAGTGCTTCTAGAGTTTGAGGAGGACGTTGCAAATTGAGCAATCTCCTACCCATCATATCCCACACGTGCTCAATTGGGGATAAGTCGGGAGATCTTGGTGGCCATGGTAACAATGTGACATCATTATGTTGAAAGAAGTCTATTGTGACTCTTGCAACATGTGGTCGGGCATTATCTTGTTGGAAAGTTGGATCTGCCAGGGTGTCAAGATAGGGTAAAAGATGGGGTTCTAGAACTTCGTGGATATAACGCTGCGCGTTCATGTTACCTCTGATGAAGATTAAAGGTGACCTGGAACCATAAGCTATAGCACCCCAAACCATAACTCCAACGAACATGTCTTTCAACAAAAAACTGTGGATTCCTCCTTTCACCACGTCGCCTTCTAACCCTGGCACGACCATCGTGCATGCCTAAACAAAATCGAGACTCGTCACTACAGACAATACTGTTCCATTCCTGATCCCAGAGTGACCTTTGTCTGCACCACTCTAGGAGATTACGTCGGTGTTCTTGAGTTAAAGGGAGGACCCAGTGTGGCCGGTATGAAAACAAGCCAAAACTTCTCATTCGTCGGTAAACACTTCGCATGCCAATAGGTCTTCCGTGTTCTGCAAACCATTCATTTGCAATGGACCTGGTAGTGGAGAAACGGTCCCTTAAGGCCAATAATCTTAGGCGGCGATGTTCACGGTCTGTTGTTCTACGGCGGCGTCCAGTGCCCCTTGCTCTTTGCGTACGGCCTTCTCGAAGCCATGCCTGACAACACCTAACCACAGTGTCTACACTTCTTTGCACTCTAACTGCAATTGCCCGAAAAGAAAGTCCAGCTTCCCGAAGTCCCACTATACGGCCCCTATCAAACTCACTAAGTTGACGAAATCGTACAGGTCGCCGTACTTTAGGCATCGTAACCGATCGTAAAGGATGTCAAGAACCAAAATTCGCCAACGTTGATTCTTTATTGCGGCTGAAATATTCATTTTTAGAGCGTTAGTGAATTAAAAAAAAAGCAGTATAAAAACTGGAAAGTCCAACTGATAAGGCTGAAAATTTTTTCACTTGTTATTTACAGTAAGATAAATACATTCACCAACTTTTATTAAAATAAAACCATTTAAACTCGGTGTTCGGATCTATATGTCACTTAGTAGAAAAAGAGTACAATCATTGAAAATTTTTAAAATTACGTGGAATTTTTTCCGAATCGCGTCTCTGATTCTGCTCCCTGGGTTAACCGGCGGGCGTGTCGGATTGTAACTAACTTTTTTGTCTAAACATAATCCTATAATAAGCCTGCTATGTTTATTCTATTCGTTTCTAAATATAAGCCTTAAAAGTTTTCAGGACTTCTTATGACGTTTTACCTGACAATTTCGCTCTCTTTGGACACCTTCAACACAAGATTCAGCGTCTTCGATTCTCCACTTTCAGTCACTCCTTCGACCGTTACAAATAAAACCTCACCGACAAAACCATCACATTTTTCTGATTGACCATCAAACTTCACTTCAAAATTTTTAAAATTCTCTTTTTCTGTTGCACGTTTGATCCAAACTTCGAGGTCTTTATTCATATTGGAATCCTCCTAAAATGGGAAACAGCTCGAAAATGAATAAAGTGTCGACTATTTTTGAACATGTTTAAATGATAAGCCGCTTTATTATATCCATTGATATATTTTTAAAGATAACAGAGTTATGCACCGTCATTTGGGATTGCATAAATATAATTACAGTGTCACAATGAAATCAGAAATATCGTTCAATTTAATGTACATACGAGGGCCATTTTTAAAGTAAGAACCGATTTCGCATCGTGCTCGCGCAACGTGTCATGTGGCATCCATTCAACCTCAGACACTTTGTGTGTCTGAAGATCACATGCATTATCTTTATCTCTTGTAACACACATCTCGTGATTATTTATATTATTATTTAAATGAACTATATAAAATTCAAATAACTTATTAACCTTTAAATATTGAGTTATACAGCGTGGCACGAAAGTCCCGGAACGGCTCTGTATTCTTTCGGGTAAGGTATTTTTTGGATCAAGGTAAGGTTTCCAGTAACTTTCAGCAAGGAATTCAACGGTGTCATTGAATCTGACCTTGACCTTTACCTTCAAGATTAATTCATGATCAACTTTATTTTTCCAAATAGAAACTGGCAGTCGAAAGGACAGAAAATTTTACGTTCAAACACAATTAAAATCCAAGATCGGGATGACTGTCAAAGGTCAAATGAAGATCAGATGTGTACTGCTGGGAAAACCTCTACAAATCTCACAGGGTGAGTGATGAAAATTACCATTAAGGTCCTTTATAAAATTTATCGAGGAAATGAATGGTGATTTTGGATTTGACCTTGATCCCCACCTTCAAGGTAATTTCAAGGTCAACTTCATTTTTTGAGGAAAATTCATATTTTTGATGTCGGCAACCGTAAGAGCGGAAAATTTCACGTTCAAATCAAATTGAAGACCAAGGTCATGGTTACCACTAAAGGTCAAATGGAGGTCAAATATGTACTGCTAGGAAAACCAATATGAATCTTACAGGATTAATGATCAAAATAACTTTCAAGGTCAATTCTTTAGTGAATTTTGATGAGGGATCTTGGAGTTGACCTTGTACTGGCAAGGTCAGATCTTTGAGTAAGTTTTAACGAGGGAACTACGGTGCACGTTATACATGATTTTTACACGATACTGTGCCTGCGGGTATATGTTTGGAAAAAATTGACCTTGAAAGTGAAGTTTAAGGCCAAATCCAGGATCACTCGACAGAAATTTACTGACCTGAATAGCTATTTTCGTCACTCATCCTGTGAGATTATAGAGGTTTTGCTAGTAATACACATTTGATCTTCATTTGACTTTTAGTAGTCATTCTGACCTTGGACTTTAATTGTGCTTGATCATGAAATTTTCGGTTCTTAAAATTGTCGGTATCAAAAATAGGGGTTTCTATTTGAAAAAATAAAGTATACCGTAAATTACCTTGAAGGTGAAGGTCAAGGTCACTGTTGAATTCCTTGCTGAAGGTTACTTAAGACCTGACCTTGATCTTTTAAAAAAATACTTTACCCGAGAAAATAGAGCCATCCCGGGACTTCTGTGACACGCTTTATGTATAGGATTCGTTATTTTACATATCTATCTATAAATAGAAATGTCTAAGACAACGAACAAACAAAATGACAATTATGAACAAACAAATTCTGAGGCGGCATAGTAACATTCAGATATAGTCAACGCCAAACAAAGTGGCGTTCACGTCATCACGATAAAAATTCCCCGACCTAATGCCTAGGTTTCTATCACAAAACAATTGCTCTATTGCAGTTTCATATTAATGTGATATATAAATTGTAAAATGGTCATTACGCTCTTATTATGGTTAATAGTCATGTAAACATTGTTATTAAAATATCACATAAGTTGCTTTCTGATAAATTTAGACGCATTATGCGAAATAAAATGTTTTGCAAACGCTCCAATCACTTATCGACATGTAAACGCACTAAACCGATTTCGCAGCGTTGACACATTGTCACCTTGAAACTTATTTAAACTGGGAACTGACATTTGTATTAATTTTGACACTGAATCAATTTGTGGCATTTCAAATCTTTATAAATCCTTTGGCCCCGCATACTGTAAATCAACAACTGTTTGTTTCAAAACAAAATTATTCATTTTACGAGTAGATAAAGGCAATTTTGGTATATAAAGATGCCCAAACAGTTAAATAGTCGGTGTAAGGAACTCGTGGCCTCGTTAATGCACTACTTTGAGCAAGAAAGGGACAACAACGGGCCTTTGTTGCCTTTAAATGCTGTTCAAGAGGTAGGTTACTAATAATTATATGTAATGTATATTAATAATAGTGAAATTTTATTTCATTTTTTGTAGCGTGTTGCTGCTGCTTTAAAAATTAGTTTAAGGACAGTTAGTCGTATTTCCGAGGGTGTGAAAAGTGATGCAAATTTAGAATCGCCCAAGAAAAAGCGGAGTTATATTAAACGTGTAACCAACACAGCGACATTGGATACAAGTGCCATTCGAGAAGTGATCTATAATATGTATCACAAAAGTAAGATCTTATTATAATAACTTATCAGAAATTTGCATTAATTTGTTAACTAAATTATAATGTCATATTACACATGGTTTCAGAAGAACAAGTTACGATACAAACTTTATGGTCTCGATTAAGAGATAGGGCATTATTTGATGGTAGTGCCACGTCTTTAAGGCGGTTGCTTAGAGATCTTGGATTTAAGTGGCTTAAGGACAATCCGCGACGAGGGCTCATGGAACTACCAAGTATAGCTTTGAAAAGGGTGGAATTTCTAAGGCAATACAATCAGGCCAAGGTTGAGGCCTTATACCAGTTTGTCTTCCTCGATGAAACTTGGATATTTCAAAATGGGACCATAGGTCGCTCTTGGCAAAATGGAAACCAAAAAAGCGTGAAAGCTATTAAAACAGATGGTAAAAGGTATGTACTTTTACACAATTTGCACTATAAAATTTAAAACTAATATATTTTAGATACATTATATTACATGCTGGAAATGAAAATGGGTTTATTGAGGGTAGTGAAGCGATATTTTCTTCGAAAACAAAATTGAGCGATTACTATGGAGAAATGAACCAGGACAATTTTTTGAAATGGTTTCAACATCAGTTATTAGAAAAATTGGAGAGTCCATCTATGATTATACTGGATAACGCCCCTTATTACAGCATGATATTGAACAAAGTGCCCAACAATGCATGGACAAAAAAAAATATCCAAGACTGGTTGACAAATCAAAACATGCCATTTTTAAACACAATGTTTAAAACAGAGCTATTGAGTATTGTTGCTCGGTACATAATGCTTCTTAATTATATATATTTTGGTCGGCAGTTTATATTTCTTTTGTTTATTCCTATTCTTAAAATAACTGCTTTTTTAGAAACAAACCACCTAAAATATACGTGATTGATGAATTGGCGGAACAACATGGGCACAAAGTTCTTCGTCTGCCTCCTTACCATTGTATATTTAACCCTATTGAGTTAATTTGGGGCATAGCAAAAGGTTACTATAACAGACATATTGGTAGAGATGGTAACAGTGAAAAAGACTGTTTGGATATGTGGAACGAGGCTCTACAAACAGTTACCCCAGACATGTGGAAAAATAGTGTTCGACATACTGAGCAAGAAATTTTTAAATGGTATGAAAGAGAACGAATTTTTGATCGACCAGACATCGAACCTTTAATAATCAACTTTGAGAGTGATGAAGATTCAGATTCAGACAGCGCTGAAGAAAGAAACTCCGACTAACTTTATTGTACAGAAAAAGCTTACACCAGTAGCTTACCTAATTTTAGAATGCATTTTTCTGTATGAATTCTGTAAAATAAATACCATGCATAAAATTTGGAGGACCCCATTTGGATTTTTATTCAGTACCTTTAAGCTATCAATTAAATATGGTAGTTTCATAGTGTCATCTGATCAATAATTGTCATACTTAATGATTATGCAAGTACAGATCTATAATTTTATTATACTATTATTTTTGTTCTCATTTGAGGTTAATATTGCTTATAAACCTAGATATGTAAATAATAAATTTTATTATTTTACAAAAAGTTTGGCAACAATGTAAATTTTTCAACACACCCACCTTGATGACGTGCACGCCACTTTGGCGTTGACTATATAAGGAGTTCTTTGAATTTTGCTTTAAACTGGTTGATTTTGGAGCATTCCTTAAAATCATCTGGTAACCTATCAGGTCCCAGTATATCGGACGATTCCATAGCAACATTGTATTTAGCAAAAGCTACATTTAAATCATTAACCTGCCTGGTTTTATAAGATCTATTATAATATAGCAAACAATCTCGAAGGACGGTAACGATAACGGCAGAAGGTTAAAGCGCAAGATTCTATCAGGTAACCAAGTAAGTTCGTGCGATTTTTAGTAGAAAAATATAAATTTTTATTGATAAACAATAATACTATTTATTCGTCAAAGTAATTACCATCACCTTCAATGACCTTTTGCCAACGTGGAAGCAATTTTTGTATGCCGGTATTGTAGAACTCCGCCGAGTTCAAACATTTTTTCTCGGGTCACTTTTGAGGGATGAGGGTGTGACACTTCCTTTCCGCAAAAAAGTCCAGAAAAGATGGAATGCAATGAAGATTCCAACTTTTCTGCACAATCACAGAAAGGGGGTTACCATTAGCTTCCGGTAGCTCAGTCGGTGGCATGAAGACATCTACAGGCGTGTAGCTGTGTGTCGACCATGGCTTGGCTAGAGGATAGAAGAACAAACAGAACACAAAAATTTAACAGATTTTATTTAACAAAAAAAAGGCATTTTCATTACATTACAATTTTACAAAAATAACAAAATAAGTTTTACATCTTTGGCGCTGCTATAACGCTATCGACTTATCTTTCGCTGGTCCATTTTTACTCGACTGAAGCCAGGATGGCCAGGGGCTTGAAGGGGAGGTCCCAGTTATGAGGGGTGACCTCCATATAGTGGCTTCACAACCAGTTGTAGGCGAAGTTAAAGGCGATGGCGCTGCCAAGGTACATGCATGGGTGAAAATATTGGCCAAGGCTAGGCAAAGTGAAAGG